GTCAAGCAATAACTCAATGTTAGGGTTTATAGTAAGGCTGGGCTAAAAATGCCAATTTTTAGTTTGAGGAACCGATATCAATCCGTAAAGTCCCCCTGTAGTCAACAAATGTATCACTGAAAACTTTTTTTTCCTTCATGCCTTAAAGGTGCATTGCGCAACATTTCATGTTAAAAATAGCCGTTTTCTAACCCATACATGCATAAACAATCGCCTGATGAGCTGAATGAGCCCTTCTCTGATCACTGAGATCGCCTCTATAATCCTGTACAGTGAAATATATAAGAGGGATTCGGGCTCGAATCTGAGACTGGGCGTGACGTCATGCGCGTTCACGCTCGCCTGGCTATGTCTGGCAGGTTCGTGTAGCTATTCGCCGCCGTTCTCCGTATCAGAGAAGACAACTCGAGCGACACAACTCTAGTCAGCTTTCCACAAAAGTAGACGATGGATTCAAAGGGGCTGTTTACACCTGGTCACTTCATGTGTTTTCTGTGATCGGATAGCTATTCGATCGTGAAAAGACCAGGGTGTAAATGCCCTCTGAAACGCGTTAGAGACGGATGAATCCGATCGCTCAAACCACTTGAGGACGTGGTCTGGGCCGCATTCCAGACGAAACTGGACAAGTGTAAATGCATCTGGTTGTTGAAACCAAGCTATATGTCATGTTATTTTAGTCATATATGACGACGCGCATCACCTCAGATGAGCAGCTGAGCTGAGCAAGCCAGCGCGCCGCAATCTATCGCAAATCAAAGTGAAAGTAAGTCGCAGACGCTTAACACTACCATCTTCATTAAAAGTAAAGAAATGAATTGATCTTACCAGGCCTGTTGCCGATCTCTCTTATTGCTGTCTTTGCTGATTTTGAAATTAGCCGATGATTAATAAAATCCAGCTCATATCTGTTGCTTTCGGTGACGTGCACTTCATATCTGTATGGCGCGGAAAGAGACCGGCTTGTAGTTCATTACAAACCCCAACGCAAACTCCGCGTGAGACAAAGAAAATAAAACTTCAGTCTGTCCAGTGCCAGGCGTCGGAATAAGACGAGAGTCAACATCGGGAAGGCTTTCAACAAACGGAGAGATCTCTGGTATGCTCTAGGGCTCAAACGGGTCCTATACAAAGTGATAACTGAACGTGTTTCCATAATAATTCAATCATAAGTGGATACAGTAAGCACAGGGAGATAGATGGAAACAAAAACGGAAGTTTTCTACTACCCCCGTTTCCCCCTCTCACACACATAAGTGTGTAATTTACTCGAATGCCTTTCCTTTCATATACTTTAAATGACTTGCAGATTTATTACTGTATTACCTCATTATGACTGTAACAAAAGATGTGTGCCGCACAGTGTGCGGCTGATGCTCCTTAGGTTATGAACAGCTCGTGCAAACGTGCGTATGTGTGTGTGTTCCTCCATAAACGCGCACAGCTCTGGTTGCAGTTTCGCTTGTCGCCAGAGGGGGCGTAGTTCTGCAAAAACTCAGAGACTTGCGTTTAGCTCCTTTAAAGGTGGAATACCTAAGATTTTTGCATTAAAATAGCCCAAAATCACAAGGCCAGTGTTATATATGTAGTTAAGATGATAACTTACAATATTCCAAATGTTTCAAACAATTTTTAAATCGCGAGAAAATTGAGATTTTGACCAAGGAAACGGGGCGTGTGAGCTGGGAGTCGCCAGTCAATCGCGTCATATCCGCTTACCTCGGTTTCTGCTAGTACTGCGTGTGGTCCTGGACAAATGCGGTAGTTGTAGTTGTGCGTTAGCGTCTATCAAGCAACAAACGTCAGCTTGTTTGGAGCACAATTATTCTTTAGCGATTGCACCTGGTTCTGTCGACAAAGACAAGTCTCAGAAACGCAAACGTCAACGAACGGGTCAACCAAACGACCCAAGAACAATTTGGGACAAGAGAACTCAAACTCAGCTCAACATCGGCGTGGCATTTCCTAAATGGAGAGAACTTCGTGAAAAACTCGAACTAGAAAGAGACGCCGATCTTGCATGCGTTTTACTTGACAGGTGACGTGAGTAAAACAGTGTTCTGTATTCAAATTTCATGTCAGTAAACGATGCAAAACAATTAGTATTATTGTTAGAATGTCTTGTTGTCTATGCATATGATGTGAAAAATCGTAAGGTCATATTCACCGCGAATACTTCTCGGAATGTGAACGACGTTTATCTGAAAAGTGTTTCAACCGTCCCGGCTCTCCCCTAACATCTGTGCATAACTAATTTACTTTTAAACCTTACTTTTAAGTTTAATGAATAAAAAGCATGTCATTAAACAGAACAGTTGTAGAAATCGAACTTTACCTCATCTATGATAACTAATTTTTTATTCCCGTCTGACTGATTTATACTGTCTATGATTTATCCACGGTGGAGTTGAAAACAACAGTTCCCATCATTCCTCGTTCCTCCACGGCGTCATCAAGCAAAGCCGTTGTTGTTGTTTTGAATGTAGCGCCCTCTAGCGTCATAAAATCTTAGGTATTGTAGCTTTAAAATATCTTGAATGTAACTCAACACCCTTGCCTCATTTGAGTATGCGAGGCTCTTTAAATATGCAAATGAGCCCCGCCTCCACTCACTCAGGGATCCACTGGTTGATGATCACACGCTGATCTGATCGTGTTTTAGAGACTGTTGTTGGTTCACTGCAGTTTGAAGGAGGAAATACTCAGCAATGCTGTCCACTTATCAACTTACACATGGTGTGTGTTAAAGCATATTAAAACACCACATAGACATATAAACAACATTAAAAAATGGATTTTCACCTCAGAAGGATTTTAAATCCCAAGAATCGATCGTTTTAGTGTAGCTCCTCTTATCCAATAAATTGCATTAAGCTGTTACTTATGATATGAAACAAAAGTCTCAACCTTCTCCAATTATGAAAATCAAACATTAAATTAAATTTTGGTGCTACTTTATGTATCGTGACAGATCACTGTAGCGCTTCAGTCCAACCGATCATCTCGTCCACTATTCTGCTATTTACAGCTCAAACATGAATGAACATCAGAAGGTATGTTGAGATACAGAACAACTTCCTGAAAGCAATCATGTCTTGTGTAATCCATCAATCTGCGTTTCAACCGCTGAAAGACGTTGTGAAACAGCTTGTAAACAATGTCATTTAATTAATTTGTACATTTACCTCAGAAAAGACATTCAGAAGCTAGAAAAATAAACTTAAAGGGTACATATCATGCTTTTAAATAATTCATTTTTACGTATAAATCATACCGTTGTGGTCTACATAAAACATATCTGCAATGCTTGGGTCTGAATTCCTCATTATTATAGCTCCACAGGCCCCTTTTCTACCCCTTTTCTGATGTGCGTCTGTGAGCGATCCAAAGCGGCCCCTTTAAATAAAAAGGAGATGCGTCATACCCCGCCCGCTCTCCAGGTCGATGAGTTCACGGTCAGTTCAACTCCCACGTTCGGCCATTATAGGTAGTTTGATTAGAGATATACGATTATATACGATACCTTCAAAGAACATTTTTATTCACACGTTAATAAAATGTCAACAACAGAAGACTTGTCCATCAAGCCTTACATATTCGAGCCAGAGCGAGCGAGTTGATAAAGACGACGACGAACCTGCAGAACAACCACTTCTTTGGTATGTGAGTTAACTGTTTTGTGTTATTAGTGAAAGTCGACTATTTCTCTTGTTAAAACAAGCACACTGACAAGATAAATGACTACGGTCTAATCTTACCACAAAAAAATCTGTATTGACAATATGATACGTTTAGAAAAGCATCAGAAAACAACGCAGCTAAATGAGCATTGATGAAACTCACTGCAGACGTGTAACGTTACTTCAAAACAAAAACAAAGAAAGACAAAGGTACTGCTAAACCATGACCACCATGTGTTTTAAGAAAGTAAAGTACTTTATCTTTATTAACGATATTTACAGCTTATCGAAATGCTCTGTTCGTCGTCTCCAAAAATAGAAGGAATTTACCCCTCATTCAGACGAAGTCAATCGGCAAACCCTTCTGTATACTGGCGGAAGTTGTTGAAGTGGGAATCCTTGAAGTGCTTCAGGTCACTAACGTACATCCAACAACCAACAACCGAACATTTTGACTTGCCCTCTCGTAACTTCTGCATCATTGAGCTCGGACTACAAAATCGGAGCGAGAAATAATATTGGCGGATTGCTCGAAGTGTTGGACCGGTAGTCAATGTCCTTATTTGGCAGTTCCGCTTCAAAAAACTTGCTCAAAAAAACGTAATAGAGAACAGAAAAATCTGAACAGGTTGAAAAATATGACCAAAACAGAATATAAAGATACAAACGAAGCACCTGAAGAGAATAATTTCATCTTTTCTGTACTTATAAACACTCCAAATATACAACAAAATGCATTTAAGGGCTAAAAAAGTGGATTTTGCATGATATGTCCCCTTTAATGTATGCACTATATTGCATAATCATTGTATTTTTACGTAATCTGACAGTCACCAATTTGTTTAAATAATGAGTAGAAAAATAATGAAGTCTTTAGAAATGTATTATAACGTGGTTATTGCTCTTTCAACATAAGTGACACACCAGCTGGCGTTCCCTGAGATTTATTTCCTTGAGGAAATGTGCCATGTACTGTACCATATCCAATCTATCATTATTAAATCAAAATCTAATTGAACCATGAAATATGTGTCAATGCCCAGCCCTAATTTAGTTGTCCAGGTCATATTTCACTGTAAAAATAAATTTTATTACGATTCTTTGCATAATGACTTGATTTGATTTCATCATGACTTTCTTTCGTCAGATATACCTCATTACCCTAAACAAGTATGATGTAGTTGAAAAAAAACGAACAAAAAAAAAAAACATTTATACATTTTTTATGCAAAAAAAAACTTTATTTAAAAATTCTGTACAAGGTAAAATTAACATTACACATTATGTTAAACACGCTAACACTGATATTTTTACAAAAAGTTTAAAAAAATAGCTATTTATCAACAAGTCTTCATAACTTAAACGAAATTGTGCTTTTTTATATAAAACATGTATATAATTATTTATTGAAATAAAACATCTACTGAGAAACTTGGAAGTTTGTGACGAATGAGAAAGACACAGTAAGCTCTGCTTCCTTGCCGTGGACTTCCTGATTTCAGAGATTCTTCAGGTGCTCCGTCCTCTGCGATCACATCTCTGTCAGACAGATAAGATCGTGAAAGCTCAGGTTAGAGGAGTGAGATATCATGTAACCGGGGAGTTATGATTCATGACTGTCACTCCGCTGACAGCGGTGCATGCTGGGAGTGAGCGCTGTATAACCACTGGCCTTTGTTAGTGATTTAGCAATAGGCATATTAACATTATCGCACTGATGGACATTTTACCTTTATTTCTCAAGAATGATGTTATAATAGATTGTAGGTTTTTCCCTAAGCACAATGTGACAAACAAGATAATTGGTGATAATGAGTAGTGCCAATTGTTTTCTGCTATATTATCAACTAATAGAGAGCATATATCAAGTTATATGGCAGAGACATATGAAAGTAAATCTATAGTCCCCTCGGGTTTGCTATCACACACTTGCGGTTGGCCAAACAAGAATACTTTTGGACTAAATAAGTTATGGAAACGTGTTTTTACATTGCTTTAACTCCTCAAAACTAAGTTAAACAATTTCTTTTTAGAAGCAAGATTTTTTTAAAGTCAGTTTAATGTTACTTATGTTGAAATTACTTAAACATCCAAGTTGATTGTACTTTAAAAATGAAGGCAGCAACTTTTCTTTTTACAGAGATGGGTGTTTTGATATAGATTAATACAATTCTACATTGTAGTTCTGATTACGCCACATTATGCTTTCAAAAGATAAATTTTTTGGTAAAAAAGGTCCAGTGAGGTTCTATATAGAACCCTGGGGTTCTTGACTCGATTTAAAAAAAAACCCCGAAAAATAGTTTTAAGGAGAACATTTCTTCAAATTTACAATAAACTCTAGTTAATGTTCACAATGTTCAATGCTCTAATATTCACAAGCTTTTTAATTCAGAAAAATTGACTGAAATAAAAAATTAACACAAAATTCATTCATTCAACTAAATCCATAAAATGAAACGTTAAAAGATTCTAAATGTGAAGCGCCTGACGGAACACTTGAGTTGCATCGTCAATGTTAAATTTTTCAATGTTAAAGGAGTAGTTCACTTTTGAAAAAAAGATTTTTGCTGATAATTTACTCACCCCCCTGTCATCCAATTGTCCATGTCTTTCTTTCTTCAGTCGAAAAGAAATGAAGGTTTTTAATGAAAACTTCAATGGGGTCCAAATGGTTCAAGGTCCAAATGACAGTTTCAGTGCAAACTGTTCAAAGGGCTTTAAACGATTCCAGACGATGAATAAGGGTCTTATCTAGGGAAACGATCGCTCATTTAATGAATAAATAACAAAGTTTAAGTTTTATAAGCTCAATGCTCGCCTTGCTCTCTTCTGTGACTCTCCTGTTCGAACTCATTCATCAAAATGAACGAATCTTTTCTGAGTCAATTGGTTCATTCAACGAACAAAACGAACAAACTGACTTGGAAAAAGATTCGTTCATTTTGATGAACAAGTTCGAACAGGAGAGTCACACAGAACAGAGCAAGGCGACCATTTGAGCTTATAAAACTTTTTTTTTTAAATGAGCGATCGTTTCGCTTGATTCGCCCTTATTCATCGTCTGGAATCGTTTAAAGCCCTTTGAACAGTTTGCACTGAAACTGTCTTTTGGACCTTGAACCATTTGGTTCACATTGAAGTCCATTATATGGAGAAAATCCTGGAATGTTTTCATCAAAAACCTTAATTTCTTTTTGACTGAAGAAAGAAATACATGGATATCTTGGATGACATGGGGGTGAGTAAATTATCAGCAAAAGTTTTTTTTAAAGTGAACTACTCCTTTAATATAACATCTGCCTTAAATGTGACCAAGCGCCAAACGGTGTTTATACCTGCTAGCTCTCTGTCCAGGTTTTCAATGAAGCTCTGTAGGTCGCTGGTGTCCCCGAGCCTGGCTGTAAAGAGTAGAGAGACAGAGACGTCAGCACATTGGAACGTTCCACACATTTCCTGTGGAACATTCCAGCCAGAAAGAAATGCGACCCTCTGAGTTACGAAGGCAAGACAATAGAGGGGGTGAAATTCCGCATTCATGATAAAACGCCACGTTCAAATGGTTTTATAAGCCAAGGTCACAGGTTTGATTTTGACATAAACAGTTGTTTCATAAAAGCTCTTGTTTTAGTGTTATTGTTATTTTGGTGGATTATTTGCATTCAGTCTAACAGCAGAAAGTATAAAAGGTGCACCTGCACTTTAAACACTAATGTTGTGTTTTCACTCCATCCATTCCTTGAATGAGTGGGGTTTACTAGAACTTCTCAGGTAATATCATTGGTATGACCCATTTAAATATAAATCAGAATACTGTCTTAAAAAAATAAAGTTTTTTTTATATAAAATGTTATATATAAATCGGGCTAGGAATAATCTATCCACAAATCCCACTGTAAATGTCTTCATAGTATAACTAAGTACAAGACTGGGACGTTTGGTGTGTATAGGTGCTACCGAAGTGGAGATTTCAGACTTTCGGAGGATGAGAGAAAAGTCATTTTGAGAAAATGGGCTTTAAAGATTTAGCTTCAGCCAATGAGATTGCACATTTGCACCCTTTTACTTTCACTTGTTGCTGATAAAAAGGAAACGACCATATTTGGATCCGACAGCATTGTACAGGAGAGAGAGAGAGAGATTTCTAACTGTATGTTTGAGCTTGAGCTTCCAAAGCTCCCGGAAGTCATTCATTTCCAATGGAAGCTGGCTTTTATCAGCTGCAAGGAGCGTCAAATCCATCAGAGTCGCGTTTTGGTGTTTTGAGCGTCAATCAGAAAGTTGGAATAGGCTCAACTTTATGGTAATGAGCTGTGACGCGGTTCAGTGGAAAAACCGGAATATAGACGTCCTCCACGCTGGCTGATTCCAGAGAAACATACGATGTAAACTTTCGTTCCTAAACAAAACCTTAGTTACGAGAAAATGGAAGAGAAGCTAATAATCGCCGTTGCTGGGTTTCCTATCATTTATTACATGGGACCGCATGAGCGCAACTTTTATTTGAAATATTTACTAACGCTCGTTTTAAAGCGGGAATGCAATTCATTTGCTCGCGGTGACACTGATTTGACCGCACATAATAATAATAATAGCTACCTATTTTTTTTTCCCCGACCAAATGTGACCAAAACGGTTATAAAAATGCTGTGATTATAAAAGATTTCTTCAATCTATTGTTTTTTTTGTTTTGTTTATTATATTTCATGTTGTGACACTTGTATTCTCCCTGCAACGTGTGCCACAATTCTCCAAATCCTTGATCCGATCACATTATTCTAAGGTCACGGTTTGATTCGATTCTCGATTTTTCTCGAAATTTGAGATTGTGAATTAATTTCGATCAATTTTCGATGACACCCTTAAGGGGGTCGCACACCGGACGAGAAGCGTAGCGCAGCGCCACCTCTAGGACAACTCCAGGTATGGCACACCGGACGCGCACATTCTATTCGCACGAGCTCAATTTTGAATCAACTCCTGGTAGAAGAGCTGCACGATGTGCGAGATTTAACTTGAATCATTGTTTATTTTTTATGTTCATTGAATAATAGTTCCTGCTTGAACGTTAATCAAATAAAAGTGTCTATCACATTAACTCTGTTATTTTGTTGTAGCGTTATCTGTTGTCTAGGCAACGGTCACATAGTACAACAGAATTTAGCTAGCGTTTAGCTAACCCGAGTGAATACAACACAGGGTGAAGCTATGTACAATAACGACGATTTGAATCAAATAAATGTAAATTTAACATAAAACTATGCAAAATGGTGCTCTGTGGCGCGACATGGTTTTGAATAAGGTCCTGAGCCGTAGCTGGGCACCGTGGACAGACGCCGAATGGCACCGCCGGTGTGTTTTCGAATTCTAGACATGGTGACATGGTGCTGTGCTTCTTGTTCGGTGTGCGACCCCCTTTAGTCAGAGCATTCAAAGCATCCAAAGCGTCAACAAGCTTCCCCGTACTTTTTGACAAGCGTCCTTCACAGGGCGGCCAGAGCTTCTCTGACGCTCAAGTCGGCGGCGGTGTGAACGTACAGTCAAGGGTGCTTTCACACCTGCCTCTTTTAGTTCGGTTGAATCGCACTTGAGATCGTTTTCCCTCTCGGTGCGGTTCGTTTGGGCAGGTGTGAAAGCAGCAATCGCACTCAGGTGCGCACCAAACAAGCGTCGGTACACTTTCAAACCAACTCTGGAGCGGTTCGTTTGTGGTGAGAACGTGAGCCGACCTCGAACAGACCCAACTGCCAAATAACAGCATTTTTGGACTAAACCAGCTGCCATAGTAAAACAAAATGATTATTTATATAGCCAAAAGCGCTCCCTTTAAGCCATGACTGACTTACCGCGTTCTGCACTCTCACTAAAACACTGAAGTTGTCTGCACTGCACAATGAACCTCTTAATTATATCGCGTCTATACTTTGTTGTTTATGAGGGGATTTGCGAAAGGATAAAGCTCGTGCTGATTCTGAACATACATTATGAGTGAATTCTCTGCATGTCAGCCGGATTTTGTTGGAATTTTGTCGAAGTTCTGTTGGAATTTTCACGCACATTAATTCTGACCAATCGAAGTGCAGTTATGGAAATATGATGAAGACATATCTGGCCAACGAGTAATGTGGATGTTGTCACGTGACTATATTTTGGTTCGTTTCATCAACTGATTCGGACCAGAGCAATCAGTGTGGTGTGAAAACGAACCAAAACCCCTGAAAAAAAAAAAGCTAAAAAGTGTCATTTTTCCTAACCAAACTACAGATGTGAAAGCACCAAGTATCAACTTTCCATGGCTACGTCCACATTAATCTGGATACATTTGAAAACGGGGTTTTCGTTTAAAAACGCTCTCCGTCCACACTAGCGTTTTCAGGCGTTTTCCAACGTTTCAGTGTGGATGAGAAATTTCTAAATTCACATTACTGCGCATGCGTGAAACTTCACAAAAGCTCACTGGGATGATACAGTTGGGAAAATAAATAATAAAGTAAGTTATCGCACAATAACAGGATAATTTGATTTAGCAAAATATCTCACCATCACTGATGCGTCCAGGTCGCATTCAGTCACCATATGTTTGGTCTAAAACGCAACTGCTCTCCTGTTTTGCAAATGTGAGTACATTATCTGTCATCTTTGCAGTACTGTGCTATGAAGAATAGCACATATTAAGTAACAGGCACAATACCGATAAACATGAATATCTATTGGTACTACATGGATCACATGACTAATCTCGCGTCATCGTTTTGAAATACCTCCGGTTTCACTGTCCACACTGCAACGCGAAAACGGCGTTTTCAAATTTATCCACTTTGGAGAGCGTTTTCCAAACAATACGTTTTTGTTGACTTAAAACGGCGTTTCAGTGTGGACGGAAGGCCAAAACGGAGAGAAAAATATACGTTTTCAAACGAAAACATATTAGTGTGGACATGGCCTATGGCTATATTTTGGTTCGTATATTTTGGCCCAAAACCCCTGAAAAAAGCTAAAAAGTGTCATTTTTCCTAACCAAACTAGCACCAAGTATCAACTTTCCATGACAAGCCTTAGTTGGAAGAGCAGTGTGGCCTAATAAAGGTTAGACAGAGGTTATATATGGATTTATTACGATTGTTTGATTTAAATTATCTCTGGATATTGGTAGGGACGTGTCCCAAGCATCCCTAATAAATTCTATGCCCTTGTAATACACAACAAAATTAGAATTACACTAGTAAAACGCATGCATACTGTATACTAGGGCTGGGTAATAAATATTGATTTCTCGATATTAATCGATTCTCATTTTTACAAACCGATATCGATTCTTAAATCTCAAGAATCGATTAGTCATCCTGTTTCATTTGAATGAATGAGACATTGTATCGCGGCTGCGCGCATCCAACAAATCGCAATAATCTTTGTCCTTTGTTACTATTGATATGAAACAAAGTCTCAATTTTCAAATTACGTCCATTTTCTTTAGAAATTCAAAAACATAAATAGCGTTTTGCCGTTTTGGCGCTGTGGCGTGAGATCGCTCTGGCGCAGCTCCAGAGAAGCAGCAGCGCTGATCTCTCTTCCGGGTTAATAATACCAGCTACAGCGCGAAATAAACATGAATGAGCGTCTGAAAGTGTGTTAAAAGATAGAGTACAACTTATCGAAATCCCTATCATTTCACATTGATTCGCTCAATCAGCGTTTCAACCGTGGAAAGACGTCAGTTAAACAGCTTGTAATCAATGTCATGTATCGTCATATTTACCTCAGAAAACCCACATAAACTCGTTAGTCCACACTCGTTAGTGTTCTTCAATATTTAATGCATATTTGAATAAATCTGGCAAGTTTTTATGACAGCCACCATTTAAATGTTTATATTTCATATAATCTTCTTATTATAAAAATAAATAAAAGTGTAATTTAAGTGTTTGTATAGCTACAAAACAGTTAATTATTACCTTCATATTAGGCCAATGAAGCCTATAGGCTACAACTAGACTATAGACCATAGTTTACAGCATTAGTTAAGAGATTTGATTCCCTTGAGAAAAATTGCCATTTATTGTAACTGATATCCAAAATAATCGACATTGAATCGAATCGTAATCGAAATCGAATCGAATTGCAAGCTTGTGAATCGAAATCGAATCGAATTGTGAAATTTGTCTCAATACCCAGCCCTACTGTATACAGTAGATCATCTTATAAACTGACTGATTGATTCAACTGGTTTTTAAGATGTCTTTTACTGCTATTCAGTTCCATCACAGCAGCATCAAAAGCCTCAAAGCTGAACAATCCACACACAAAGGCTGGAATAAGTCGGACAGAAAGAGCACACAGGGGTTGGAGCCACGGGAGGGTCTGTTTAGTAAATGTGACGCCGTCTGCCGGGTGTTGTGATGTTAATACCTTTAGGTGCCGAGGTCATGCTTGCGATGTGGAGCTCCTCTTGACTGGCATTCAAACTGTTCGCCAGCGAAGCCTCGCTACCTGAAGAGACACAGAAGGGTTAATGTGTGCCTCATACATCTGAATGCCATTGACATGGGATTGACATCACAAGAATAAAGCTTTCAAAGGTTAACTAATGCATTTATTCTATTACATTAGGATCAAAACCAAGAGAGATGTGAATCACATTAGCAAAGCAATGGAAGTGCCTCTGTGTGTGGGTCTCTATAAGGGAGCTAAATCTAACACAGACAATGTTTGGTTTTTCAAAAGTTCAAGAAAGTTTTTTATGACTAAAGTTAGTCTGTATTATATAAATTTGAAGTCTATGGTCCTCATTTAGTGAGAACGTGGGTGTTTGTTTGATAAAAGCAGAGAATCATAAAATCCGTTGAATTCAAAAAAGTTCTCTTTATGTAAATCGTTTTTACTGCAAACTATGAAAATAGCACATGAAAAGGTTTGACTGTAGTGTGCTTACAGTAGTCTGAATCGTCTCCATCACCGACTCCTGTGTGTCTCTTCGCATCTCTCAGCACGTGTTCAGAGCTCAACTCCTTCACAACATCATTAAACTCCTGCAGTAAGTCTCCCAGCTCCAAATCCAACTCTACAATTCACATACATTAGAATTAGCTGAACCAAATACTGAGAAATCATTTATGGATGATGTAAATGAAATGAATAAACTCAAAGAATCAAATCTCACATTTGAAATAATGTGGAATTTTATGCGAGAAAATCTTACCAGAATTGTTTGGTGTAGACATGGCGAGGTTCTCTGAATAGTCCTGGAAACTGCTGATTCTCCTCCGAGAGCGTTTATATAGACTCCACCCAGCACACGATGGGTCGACGAATCAGAGCACAGCTTGGTCTCCGTGGTCACAGTAATTTCCCCTGACTCCTACACACATGACGTCACATGCAGAAGAGAGAAAGCTAGTTTCCACTTTCACAGCATTATTCACTGGAAGACAGCCTTCAAATATTATCCAATAAAATCAGAAAGATATACTTGCTACCAACTTTTTTTTTTTTGTTGTTGTTGATTTGTCAATTTATTCTACCATTGCAATCAGGTTAAATCTCTGGGAGAACTTAAAGGGTTAGTTCACCCAAAAATGAAAATTAAGTCATTAATTACTCACCCCCATGCTGTACCAACCCCGTAAGACCTTCGTTCATCTTCGGAACACAAATAAAGATATTTTTGATTGAATCTGAGGGCTGGATCACTCTTCCATAGACAGCCTGAGGGACTGCCTCTTGACGGCCCAGAAAGTCATTAAAAGAAAAGGTTTAAATATTCCATGTGCCAACAGTGGCTCAACTATAACTTTATCAAGCGACGAGACTACTTTTTGTGCGAAAAAAAAACCGTAAATAACGACTTTATTCGACTTTCCATTACTTCCTTATGGGCGCATGCGCGAGAACTGAGACGAGACCGTTCTTCTTCGACTACTTTTTGTTACCGGCTGCTCACCGCTTAGGAGTTTTACCGCCCCCTACCGTATAAGATGACGTACTGATATAGCCGGAGGCGCAAAACGTTCTGTTTACAAGCAGTACGTCATCTTATACGGTTACATTTCTCCTTTTATAAAATGTGTTTTAAACTTTTCATAGATACATTTCTTTATTTTATTTTGGGAGTGACAATGCATTTTAAGATTGTTGTTTATTTGTGCTGAATTGTAACAAAAAAAAATGTGTATATATATATATATATATCCACAAACACAGATTTCTCAATATTAAAGTTTAGCTTTTTCTTGCACATTTTTCTTACTGGTTGAAGTGCCATATTTTCCCCATTTCCTTGTTGATGTATTCAGTGCAGGTAACACTAATAAGGTACCACTTCCTTCGTTAATGAATAACTACACAAGAACCAATATTAACAATCTAGTAAGTATTATTAACTAACAAGAAACTCTGATTTATGAACTGGTAAGTAATAGTGAACAGATGAAAGTGGTAGTTCACTATTAACAAATCAATAACTACTTTTTAATGCTTCCCAGAGAACTACTGAAAAAGTTCCATACATAATTAATGCAAAACTAATCAATAACCAAATGACTAGCACTACATTAACATTTTAACTGCTACTGTAAAGGAATACACAATGTTGTTTACATTCTCAATATGTAATAGCACAGCAGACTTATGATTTGGGAAAGCTGTTAATAATTGGCCTATGCTGTCTATTTATCAACTGAATAATTGTAAAGAAATTGATTTTTAAATGCAGTTGTCGGGACCTTGCTTGTCCTGTGGCCAATTTTCCGGCATTCCTCTGGACTGGCTTTGAATCACTGGAGTCACGGTGAGTACTGGGACATATTAATCATCAGCCACCAATTTATCATACAGTTATTTTCTCATTTAACCTACCTCCCAAAAAATAATGTTTTTATGTATGTCTCCTAGCTCATATGTATATGTGTTTGTGTGTGTGTGTGTGTGTGTGTGTGTGTGTGTGTAGTAATGACTCAAGTGTTACCACCAAAAATCTAAAAAAAAACTTTTGTGCTAATCAAGTCATGATTAGATCATGTAGTAACACTTGAGTCATTACTAGTTAGATCCAATGATCTTCACTTTAGAATACGGATCCAAATAATTAGTAATTCGCATTGAAGTATGAATACCACGGAAGTGTATTGCATTCACTTAAGGAAACAAAATCTAGTTTTTCTCGTAATTTAAAATTACGAGATCATTTTTCATGGAAAAAGTTTTTGCTTTGTTTTTCTGAATTAACAAGTTAATTATCTCAGAATTGAAAGATAATTTTTCATGGACATTTTTTAACTCTGTTTTCATGAATTAATGAGTTTTTGAGATAATCAAGTCATTAATTCAGAAAAAGAGAGAAAAAACTTTTTTTCCATTAAAAATGATCTCGTAATTCTGAGATAAATAACTCGTTAATTCAGAAAAACAGAGTAGATTTTTTTTCTTCAAGGGAATGCAATACGCTTCCATAAAGTACCACTTTTATCTGTGCGTTGTTAATCAAAGTTTTTGTTAGTTAATAGAGGTTATTAGATTGTTAATATTGTGTTACTTATTGGTTCTTCTTTGTAAAAAAAACCTAAGTTTTAATAGATTTAAAATGTTTGTTTAAATATTTGATCACTTTCTTGAGCAACTTAATATGTATACACTCTAAGAAAAAAAGGTACAAAAGCCGTCACTAGGGCTGTACCTTTTCAAAAGGGAAAACTTTTGTCTATTTTAGGTACTAATATATGTATATTTTAGGTGCTAATATGGACATTTAGGAGCTAATATGTACATTTTAGGTACTATTATGTACATTTTAGGTGCTAATATGGACATTTTAGGTGCTAATATGGACATTTAGGAGCTAATATGTACATTTTAGGAGCCAATATGGACATTTTAGGTGCTAATATGGACATTTTAGGTGCTATTACGTACATTTTTAGGTGCTAATATGTACATTTTAGGTACTATTATGTACATTTTAGGTGCTAATATGGACATTTAGGAGCTAATATGTACATTTTAGGAGCTAATATGGACATTTAGGAGCTAATATGTACATTTTAGGAGCCAATATGGACATTTTAGGTGCTAATATGGACATTTTAGGTGCTATTACGTACATTTTTAGGTGCTAATATGTACATTTTAGGTACTATTATGTACATTTTAGGTGCTAATATGGACATTTAGGAGCTAATATGTACATTTTAGGAGCTAATATGGACATTTAGGAGCTAATATGTACATTTTAGGAGCCAATATGGACATTTTAGGTGCTAATATGGACATTTTAGGTGCTATTACGTACATTTTTAGGTGCTAATATGGACATTTTAGGTGCTAATATGGACATTTTAGGTGCTATTATGTACATTTGTAGGTGCTAATATGGTCATTTAGGAGCTAATATGTACATTTTAGGAGCCAATATGGACATTTTAGGTGCTAATATGTACATTTTAGGTGCTATTACGTACATTTTTAGGTGCTAATATGGACATTTAAGGTGCTAATTTGGACATGTTAGGTGCTGTTATGTACATTTAGGTGCTAGTATGTACATTTTAGGTGCTAATATGGACATTTTAGGTGCTATTATGTATATTTCAGGTGCTAATATGGACATTTAGGTGCTATTATGTATACATTTTAGGGGCTATTATGTACATTTTAGGTACCAATATGCACCCTTTAGGTACTTTTGAAAAGGTACAGCCCCAGTGACAGCTTTTGTACCTTTTTCTCTGAGAGTGTATATAGAAGTAATGCATGGGATGATATGCCTACGTTGTTTGTTTAAACGTGCATATGTCCATTCAAGTTTGTAAAAATGTACAAAGAGAATCGCAATGATGACAACTTTTATTTTAAGAAAAGTTGCTGCATAACTGCGGACTTTGAAATAAAAAAAATAGTGAGCTATGTGTTTGTGGTACAGCCGCGGATCAGTTACGCACTGCAAACGCAGCATATGTGAAAACACTTTAGTGTGTGCTGCTCCTGTACCGTATACACACCGCATACGGAGTATGAAATGGGCGTAACACGAACTCAAACACACACATCAGTTATATTGAAAAGTCAGTGTTGAATAAAAAGCTTTCAAAATTCTTATTTCATTATGTTACATATCAGTATCACCCCGGTTATGGAGGATCTCATAATGTTGGAGGATCTCATAATCTCACCCCCAGGGTATGTTACAACTAACCCAGACTATGGGGTGAATTGTAACATTTCACTCCTCGTGTTTGAAACTAAACCATGCGTTTTCTGTTTGTGTTGCAAAGATAAAAGTTATGCCATTTGATAGCAGACACTTGTAACTAGTTTGAATCACATTTTGAACACACTGGCTGAAAAGTACTCCAAGATATAGACAGAAAGGTCAAAAATGTTACAACCATCCCCGGTCTCCCTTAATTCACGAAGCATTTTAGCCCTAAAAGTAGCACTTAAGTCTGGGACAGCTTACTCCTAACTTACTAAGACACATATTCACAAAGGATTGAAGCGCTTTCACAGACCCAATGGCCACACTTACATTTTCCACTCAAATTCACCCATTCACTCAATCAAATACACCGACTTTAAGTAGTCTATTTAGGCTTGCATTAGGTGTTCATGCAAGTGTCATTTTTCATTATTAGGCAAGTGGCGGTTTTCATTAGGGTATTAGGCTACCTTGATTTCATTTAATTGAATTCACTTTTCTCTCTCTCTCTGCCTTTTTTATAATTACACTTCACTGGGGCCTGCACAAACATGATATGCATTTCGATGACATTATTATTTTTTGAAGGACACAGACATATTTAGATGTCGTAATTCGATGATTTGTTATGTGTTATTTTCCGCATGATGGCCCTGTCATCTAACAACCAATCACCGTGATCATGGCTAGGAAGCTCGTGCAAGAGAATTGACGTCATCCATAGCAACGAAGACTCACTCTTATTTAGGAGTTGTCATTTTTCCTTACTAAGAGTAGGTCTAAAATGTGTTGTGAATAAATTTTAAGATAAATTTCCAAGCTAAAATATTTTAGTGCGATTTAGGAGTAGCCTACTCCTAGTACAATTCTTTGTGAATACAATATTTTAGTGAATACGGCCCCCGATGTTTTTTTCTTTCTTTCTTTTTTTTTTTTTTTTTTTTTTTCTTGTAAGTGGCTGTCAAGTTACAGTACTTGACAGAAACTCGTAAGGGCTGTTATCATTCTGGTTTTGTGCATATAACTTTTTATAGCATTTCTTTTATTACTAGTTCCACTACACCAAAAAAAAAAAAAAAAAAAAAGCACGCTAGTTTACAGAATAATAGAATATAACTGTGGCTAGAATATGAACA